ACGAAAACAATTAAAATTTGGTAACTTTTCATTGTAGCACTATTAAACATCAGCGCAAACGAACTACACTTATTCAGTCGGATTATTCATGCTTTTACGTGTTCCGTTTTTGTTTTTTTTATTTTATTTTTAACAGACACAGTCAAATAGGGTAAAAATTCCATCAAAACGGCTCCAAGACATCTGTATATGTTTACAAAACTAGAAATAGTTTTTTATTCTTCAGTTGTAGAAATCTAGAATTCAGGGAAAATTCATAGAAACTGCAATGTTTACAAATACCGGAAGTCACGCATCATACTGACCCGTGATTGGCTTATTTACCGTTTAGTCGCAGGGACTGGTCGCACAAACAGTTCACACGAAGGGACAAACATTTGTTTCATGCGACAAGTCCCTGCGACTGGTCGCACGAATTCAAACCAGTTTGAATTCGTGCGACCAGTCGCAGGGACCAAATTTTGGTCCCTGCGACCACAGAAATGTGTAGTTCACACGAAGGGACGAGTCGCATGAAACTGGTCGCTGGGACTAGTCGCAGGGACTAGTCCCCTCGTGTGTGCCGACCTTAAATGCTAGTCAAAGCCAATCCTTTTTTTTATAGGAGACATCTGAACTGTAGGTGATGCATTGCAACTACAAGCGATTACAGGGGAACGTGTGGATAGTATCACGTAATTTAACCGTGTATCTTCTACAAGTTCTGACTCCCGAAATTTAGCCCATTCAAAGCTAAACATCCTCTTTTAGGCGGTAAAACTTTTCTTTACCTACCATCGCTATGAGAAAACGCATGCTTTTCTTTCTAAGCCAGAAAGGAGTATGAGACAAGAATACGAAACTCCATGAGCTCACGTCGATTTTTTTATAGTTCTGAGTGGTGTTTTAAGAGTTTTTGTAACCATAAATTTGAAAATCTGTTTAATAATCCTGAGTGACTAGAAATCATGAGATGTTCAAACAGCTGTTCAAGACTTTAGCGTGTCTTCGTACGTCCCAAGTACACATTAATTAAAACACTTTTTCAAGGGTTGGGAAATTCTCATATTTTCTTTGCAAGGCAGAAAGAAAGAAATCGTACTAGCACCTGACATGAATGACATGAAAGCATCCCCTCTAGCCTGCAAGAGATATACGGCCCTAGGGAAAGTGTAACACACAACTCACTACAGCTGATGGAGTGACACTTCGCGAGGGAAGGAAGAGATACTGGACAGATTTACTGATCACTTCAATTTTTCAGGAGCCCTTGAACCAGCAACAGAAGGAGAACTAGAACATAGACCAGCAAAACTCCTCCAGGTGATATTGACGGGATAGTTAGGAAGGAACTCAAATTATTAGGAGTAACATTTCATGAAGACCCATGTAATTGGGATACTCAATTTCAGCATATGCTTGGGAAGGCCAATTCTAGACTTTACATGTTGAGGGTCTGCAAGTACTTTGGCTACTCCTTACTGGAGTTGACTGTGCTATTTGATAGCCTCATAATGTCATTATTTTTAAATTCATTAGAAGTATGGGCCTGTGCCCACCGGGGTAAATACATTGCACAGATTGATAAGCCTTGTAGGCTTAGTTTGCGATATGGATTTACCTCCAAGTACACCCCAATGACCAGCTACATCGTTTCAAGAGATGGGCAGTTATGAAACAACATCATAACGGATGCAGCTCATTCTCTTTATGACCTTCTTCCTCCACAAAGATCACGTTTTTTAAAAAGCAGGGGCCATGATTTTACCTTGCCACGTGTGAGAACCGAGAGGTTCAAGCGATGCTTTATTAATAGATGCCTATTTAATTTTCTCTAAGTCTATTTTAACTGTATAGTGGTATTGAATAGTAGCTTAGAATATTATTCTTATTGTAAACTCACACGTTTGTCTGTGGGGATGTTTTTCTTTAAAAACGAATGAATGAATAAAGATCTTTACACCTGAAGTCAGAGAGTTGGAGAAGTCTACGCTTGACGAACCTCTGTCAGTAATGAAGGGAAATCAGCTGGTCCCATGCCGGAGGAGAACTAGTATCTCGACTTTGCGAACTTATACTGCAAATCTGCGGGTTTGAAAATGTTCCAAAGGAATGGAAAGACGCTAGCAGAGTACTTTTATTCAAGAAAAGTGATACGGAGGGAGGTGGGAACTATAGTGGTATCTCTCTGCTCACAATAGTTGGCTAAATTATTTCGCGTATCCTCTTAAACAGACTAAACGTGCATCTAACACCAGAAATACTACCACAGTCAAATTTTGCCTTCAAGAGTGGCAGAAGCACAAAGGAAATTAGTTTTTGCTTGCGTTAGGCTCATGAAAAGTGTATCGAAACATAACGTGTTCATCGACTTCAGTAAAGCCTTTGACAATGTGTCCCGCCAAGGCTTGTGGTCTGATTCCAGGAAGTATGGCTTCCCCGATAGGTTTATCACTCTACATTCAAACCAGGAGAGATACCAAACTGTTCAATGTGTCACAGTCTAAATCCAGAAGCAAGACTAGTCTGAAAGCCGTCGGAGTATTTTCGTTCGCAGACCAGAGCCCTTTTCAATCACACGAGGCTACCGATCTGCAAGTCCTAATCGAGAAAGTCGCCAAAGCCGCATCACAGTCTCGCCTTAAGACTGATGTAAAAAAGACGGAGAGTCTCTACCAACCACCTAAATACCTGACTGATGCTATGCCGACAGCAGTTAAGATCGACAACCAACTACTCACAACCGGCCGTACAGTCTCAGAAACGCACGACTCGACCAGAAAAGCACTCTGGGAATGGGTAAAGCTACTGTTGTGTATGGGATACTTCATGAAAGACTGTGGAGAATTCCACATGTCCCCAGCAGAACTAAATGTAAAGTATACCGAGCTGTTGTTCCTAGCACGCTCATTTTACGGAGTGGAGACTTGGAACATTTACCAGTCATAAGTGAAAAAACTTCACGCTTACTTGATGAGCCGTCTCAGGGAGATCATGAACATGTCTAGAAAGGATAAATCACAAACAAAGAGAATTTGAAGAAGGCAGATCTCTAAACTAAGACTGGCATATCAACTCATCTAAACCTAAGATAGCTCGGCCACGTTGTGAGGATGGACTTCGCCAGATTACCCAGAAAGCTGCGATACTCCCTGCCTCGTGAGGGCAAAACAAACAAGGAGGGCCTAGGATACGCGCTATTCAAGGACTCCGTGAAGTAAAGAATATTACAGAAATTACGGGAAAAGCACAGAACAACCAGAAGGAACCTGATTAAAGCCTGGACTCTTCATTAAAAAGTCATTGTCGAGTCGACAGACTGCATAGAAGTAGACAATTCAAGAGAAAAGTTTGAACGGTTTCGGAAATTTTAGAATTGTGTCCGTCTCATTAGTCTTTCAAAGCATAAATTTTTTACAAGAGCTAAAGGGAAATTCCGTTTTGCAGAAAAAGCGTATTGACGTGTTTGTTCTTCACTTGTCCGGAAGGAGATAATCGTTAAGTATGAAGTAAAGAAGTTTTATGAAAAGTATGATTGAAAGCCAAATACCCAAACTATACGTCAAATTCTAACCTCTGGACATTAATGTGCACAACAATTGTGCCACCTACTACAAGCCCTGATAAAAGACTGACCAATGAGGCGTGATACTTCCTCTGGGGAATAAAATTAAACCAATTCGATCTAAATGCCGTTTTAGGGATTTTAGAGAGCCTCACACGATTAAATTTACTTCAGAGTTAGAATTTTTTGATTGGACACCTGTGATCGACGCTCCAGATGTTGAAATAGCAACTAGCATATTAAACAGGGAACTGCACAATCCTATGGATAAGTGTTTCTCGGTTAGGAGAGTTGTGATGTCTTCATGTGACCCCTACTGGATTACTCCACTAATTAAATACGTTTTAAGGAAAAAGAAAAGAGGTGCTGATAAGGGCCGCGTTCACAAAGTGGAAGACTTGTCATCGAAGGTCTACAAGCTGATTGGTGAAAATAAAAAAAACTGGGGCAGGAATGGAGCACAGGGGAATTTGCACTGGTGGAGGACAGTGGACAAAATCAACCTAAGGAAAGAGAAACCTTAGCTATATTTAGAAAAGGAAATTCTTGCTGGTCTCAATGATTATCTTGGGGACTTGTGTAACGATGAGAACTATGTCAAACCAATGCCTCTCAGGGTAAAACCCGAGACACACCCACCCCCAAAGCTCCACGAATTTGATGCGATGATGGTATTATCAAAGATTAAAAAAACCGCAACTGACCCTGATGGGTTGCCGTTTTGGGTTTGGAGGGACAATTACACAAGTCTCGCTCCTGTAGTGACTGCTTTGTGGAACAATTCTCTGTCCTCTTACACTTAGCCGACAGCTTGGAAAGAAGCTAACATCTGAACCCCTCCCAAAGGTAGACACTCCTGTTCAATGTTTGGATTTTCGGGGAATTAATATGACTCCAGTTATAGCACGCTGTTTTTAAAGAACTGTATACCATCATTATAGTAAGAAAGTTTTTGAGGAAAATCTGACGGTCACACAATATGCCTATAGGGAAGGCTGCCACTGTACAGACGCCTTGATTCAAATACAGCATAATTACTTAAGGGCACTTGATGATAAGGATTGTAAATATGTTAGGCTTTTTACGATGGATTTTTCGAAAGCCTTTGATAATGTAAAACACTCGTTAGTTGGGGAAAAGCTAAAGGCTCTTCATCTCAATCCTTATCTTGTCAACTGGTACTTAAGTTAGTTCATTTCATTTATTTGTTTAAGCAGGTTGATTAATTGGCAGCTGTAATAGCTGATGTGGACCTGCTGTCCTAACCCACCCATCCCACCCCAGGGGAGGACATCCATCACACAGTAATCTCGTATGTGGGAAATTAACGTCTCCTGCCCCATAACAACAGGAGACGGGACCTCCATTTATTCGTCCCTATCCGAGAAGACTAGAATATCTAACCATTTCTTGATGTTATAGAAAGGTAGCAAATTCTTCTCAATTATTTTAAGACCTTGAGTGTTGGTCCGGCCGGGGCTCGAACCCTTGACCTCCCACACTACAGTCCAGCGCTCTAACCATTGAGCTAACCGGGAGGCGGTTAGTTCTCTAACGGATGGGAAACAAAGACTAATATTTAAGGGTTTTGTCTACATATGGCATAATATGAACGAAAGAAAAACCCAGGGTAGTGTCAGTGGGCCTCATCTTTTTAATTCGCTTATCAACGATTTAGCCATTAGTGATAGTGACCTTACCAGCATAGTTAAATATGCTGACGACACTACCTTACTAGTCAAAGTATGTAAAAATAACTAGATCTTTCTCTAGATGTTGTCAATCAGTTTTTCAGTGGGACCCGAGATAATGCCATGGCATGTAAACCCATAAAATGTAATGAACTAGTACTTTGTGAGAAGATTGCTCGTGATATAGACCCTGTGAACAATATAACGCAAGTCTCTTGTTTAAAAGTGTTAGGGGTTACTTCCCAGAGTAATGAGAGGTTTAATGAGCATATTAAGGGTATGTTGCAGGAGGCCAATAAGTGTCTTTATGTGATAAGGTGTTTGCGCAAAGAGGGATATCAACGACCAGATGTAGATTACGTTTTTAGGTCAATTGTTTTACCTAAACTAACGCATGGTCTACCCATATACGCCTCCTCAATACCTGAATTAACAACAGTCCAGAATTTTCTACAGCGCTGCTTTAAACGCAAATATATTTCGTACCAAATTGATATATAGTATTGATATATTGTATTAGAAGAGGTTGATCGCTCACTATTCATGATTTCCAGTATGCCCGGTCACTCTCTGTACCCTTCTGTCCCTAAAACAAAAGAAAGCTCAGCGTGCCTCCGAGTTCCTAGTAGTCAACTCCCCAGGGTTAATACCCAACGTTTAAAAAATAGCTTTTTCAATAGGCTCTCTTTCAAATATAGAGTAGCTATCTAATGTAATGTCTTATATTACCGCCTCTCGGTTAGCTCAATTGGTTGAGCGCCGGACTGTTGTGCGGGAGGTCGAGGGTTCAAGCCCCGGCCGGACCAACACTCAAGGTCTTAAAATAACTGAGGAGAATGTGCTACCTTTCTATAACATTAAGAAATGGATAGACATTCTAGTCTTCTCGGATAAGGACGAATAAACCGTAGGTCCCGTCCTGCATCTATTGATTAGTTAATCTGGTTAGGCAGGGTACGTTAAAGAACCCACTCACGAGATTACTGTGACGTGGTCTGGCCTGTTCACAGGGAATTGGGGGGAGTGGGCATCGTTAGATTTACCTTTAATCGATTGTAAACTGCTTAGCAGTCTGGTAAAGTCCCCCGCACAGTGGTGTAAGGCGCCATGAGCTTAGGGAAATCATGAGCGCTTATAAATAGAAGTTACTATTATTATATTATTATATTATGTAATGTTGATAGTCTTGCAATTATTTTTATGTAAATTTTCTTGTTTTAGCATGTATTTTTGCTTAAAAAGAATAAAGACCTATTATCATTATTATTATTAGTAATTGCTTTTGCAATTGGAACCGTTGCTAATTTTTGGAGAAGTTATCAAACCTTTAGTATTCACCCATAACTGACTGATACGATCACTTGTGCTTGTCGCATAAAAGGATACTGCTCGTCCTTTCAGACACCAGTTAGAGGCCTCCTCATATAACTGTAACTCCATACAAGCCCTGACTCCTAGAAGGTAATTCATCGTTTCAATGCAAACTTCTCATTCGCCTTTGTTGGGAACACAAAGGTTCAATGACTGACTTGTTGACACCATCACTATGCGACACGCTTTGACTAAACTGTAGTAAAAAATATTTTCCCACCGGAACAGTTTCACTATATTTTAATTTTTCAGTAGGATGGGAAAAGTTTTATAACGCTTCAGTCTTCGCAGTCCCTGTCTTTTTTTGTACATTTTTTATTCTATGTATGCCTGCCAATCAGCGCGCAAAGTCATTTCATAAAATGATTTAACTGTAAACAAGTTCTAACCTGTTACTAAATCCAGTGATTAAGAGGAGGCAAATATAAAAAAGACAACAAATACCCTTTTTTCAATTTCTTTTTTTTTTTATTTTGTATTAACTATTCAAGTAGAGGCTACACGGAAGGGAATTCTTATTTTAAGCACAAAATTCTTTGATGAGCCGGATATTAGAATTTTCGTGTATAGCCAAGATCTATGTTGTGGACGGTTAACTAAGCGGCTGATTGGAATCCTAAAACGCATGAATTTTGATGCAAACTTTTTTGGGGGCAGAGGTAAAAATCACACTGATATGTTTCTGTAGAAGTAGTCCTCCTCATAGGCGCGGTGGCCTCATGGTTGGTGCGCTCGACTCCAGACCAGATCGAGTGGTCCGGGTTCGAGTCCCGGCCGGGACATTGTGTTGTGTTCTTAGGCAAGACACTTTACTCTCACAGTACCTCTCTTCACTCAGGTGTATAAATGTGTACCGGCAAGTTAATGCTGGGGGTACCCCTGCGATGGACTAGCATCCCATCCAGGGGGGAGTACAAACACTTCTAGTCGCTTCATGCTACAGAAACCGGAGTTAAGCTCCAGCCTAATGGGCCACTAGGCACGTAAAGAGACTTTACTTACTCCTCCTCATACAATACACGGATGGAAAGGTAAGGAGGGCACTTCCCAATATCCGTTTCATTTATCATTTGAGGTGCAGACCTAAAACCACGATCTCTTTTTTTAGAGTCTCATTATGTTTTCATTGACCTATATCAGCAGTAAACTCACCGTATCCTATGGCCTCAAGCAAAGTTGGTGCCAACTGAACAGCAACTGTTGCATCAACTCGAGTTTCTTGGTAATTTCCTGCAAAGAACACCAGTTAAAGTCAAGACAGAAAACACTATGCAAAAAAAAAGATACTGGTAAGGAATTGAATGTCAGAGCATTCATGGACACCTGAACAACCATAGAAAAAATTGCCACTTAGATGATAGATTTATTACTCTTTATTTGAATGAATGTGTGAAAGAGAGAGTTAAGAAGCCATTCGTGAAGGTTTCATCTATTTTGAACCAGGAGAAATTTTGCTCATATTTGGTTCGGAAAGATGGTGTATTGTTTCATGGCTTATTTCGAATTAAATTTTCCAGGGCCCAAGCCTCCAAATCAAACGATTCTCTCGAAGGGATGACTTATGCGACTTGTCTTTTGATCTTTGATCAGCAACTTAAGCATGATTGATCATATAAACAATGCAATGCGGCATTTTATAATTTACATAACTTGAGACGTGTTAAGAAATACCTTTCGCGGAGAGATTCTTTAATTACTTTGGTTCATGCTTTTATAACCAGCCGCCTTGATTATTATAACGGTTTATCGTTTGGCTTACCAAAGGTGCAGATCGCTAAATTACAGCGTGTTCAAAATGCAGCAGCAAGACTTATTCTTCGCATCGGAATATTTTCTCACATTACACCGGCGCTTTTTGAGCTGCACTGGCTGCCGGTTTCTTTACGTAGTGACTATAAGATTTTACTTTTGACTTTTAAATGTATTTATGACCTAGCGCCAATTTATCATAGTGATCTTATTAGTATAAAATCGAATTCATTATACAATCTTAGGTCTACTGGTAAACTCTTATTGGACCATCCCAAGGAAAAGATACTTACAACATTGGGAGCAAGATCATTCTCAGCAGCAGCTCCGAAACTCTGGAATGGCCTACCTATGGAGCTTCGTCTAGTAACATCACTCAATAGTTTTAAGTCTCGACTTAAAACCTATCTTTTTAAGAAGTATTTTATAGTCTGTAACTTAGTTCATTTTATTCTCACAGTAATGCATTTTCGCTTTCTCCTAAACATTTGATTGTAAGGCGCTAGTTATCAGCATATGTAAATACGCACTATATAAATTGGTAAATTATTATTATTATTATTATTATTATTATCTTTTGTCATTTAACTTTGGTCGAGGCCCACAACTGTAATGTTTTCAACAGATTACAAACTCTCACCCAAACAGAAATGTACTTTTGCTCTTCTGCAGTAAAGCTCGGCATTTAAATGTTCATCGCTGCAGTTGACTTGAAGTCCTTCAGTGTAGAAGTGTTTTGCGCTCTGAAGGTGTCCCTTTTTGTACTCTTCGTCGCCTTCCTCGAGATACACCTTTGCAATTGCTACCAAAATCAGGAAAGGATCACATCAGTCTTGTATTACTGCACTCTTTGCACTACCACAATTACTTCATAGTAAGGAAAGCCAGCTGAGTGTGGTGTTTTCATCCAATTCCTATACCGTTCTCTCACATTTTTTTACAAAGTATAGAAGTTCACCAATTAAACCGCCCAATGATTTTAGTGCCATCTTGTGAGAGGTTAATGACAGTTTATTGGTCACCCATTTTTTTTGTGCTCAGACTGTTTAAAGAAGACCTTTTGGGGGTTTAAATGAGGGTCTGAAGGAGGTTAACCGTTAGCCGTAAAAAGGCAAAACAACTTAGCTGTTAGGTGTTAAAATTGAAAAATGTTAGCCGATAGTCGTAAAACATTCATCCGTAAAAATTCTTCTTATTTATGATATATCATTTTAAAAGTGTCAAAATCTTAGATTGGTAGGAGTAAAGTCTTGTAGGTATTGTGGGAAACCAGGTAGATACTTATATTCAGCCCTAATTTAGAGAAAACAAGACCGGAAGATAGAGAAAAGGTGCGCAATAATTCAGGATTACACTCGGTGTATTTCAATTACAGTAGTTGGACTGAGTCAATAACTCGACGGCCGGCCAGGTGTTGTTTCACGTGGACCATGGAAAAGTGTGAGTTATTTAAAATGACCAGATACAATGAGATTCAATGTGTTTTCAGAAGGTAAATAACTTTAGAGCGCTGAATGGTCGTCTTAGAGACAATACCAAGTCAAAGCAAAGGAAATATCTCGACAAGTTCATGACAGCAGAAAATATAGACTGGTAAAATGCAAATAGCGGGAGAAAACTTAAGTAACGATTGAAATACCGAGGTGTTTCCGTCATTCTGAACACTTAGTAAAGTGCTGGTCAAGTGGCGAACTGTACGTAGCTTTACCTGATAACGTGTCACAATCAAAAGCCAGTGGTACATTGTAGGATTTTACATAACTTTCATCTGTGGCTGCGAGAAAGCGAAGGATAAATTAATAAATTAATACCTATAAATAGATAAATACTCAGTTCATAAACGGAACTAAGACATTTAGAGGGTTTTCCTTTGCAATTCTAAAATTCGCCCAAAAAACTGAATATAAAGTTTTGATACTTTTTACACCAACTGTTTCAAAGATTGGTATTAGGTAAGGTTGCCTTGGTAACCTGATGCCTTAAAAATAATGTTGTTAAACATAATGGAGTTACACTGTGAAGCACTATCGTTCGAGTCTCTGACTGGACAAATACATTTTCATAGTAGTTCGTTTCCAATGTTTGTAATGTGCCGGTCAAGTGGGGGATGAGAGGGGCAGTAATGTATGAAAAAAAAAACATCAAACCATGCAAATTGCTTAAACCATTTTTATCCACTCGTTGCGATGCATCAAAACAACTCACTCGTTCGCTGCGCTCACAAGTTCGTTTTTTCGATGTATAGCAACTCGTTCGTGCGCACTTTCCATGGAATAATCTCTATTTACTTTGATTGGTGATTTTTTGGATGCTATGTTTAAGTAAAGTAGTGACAATGTGGAAACGACTATTAAGTTTTATCTTTAGCACCACACCTGTGGTACTTTCATGTTCACTGTCCTGATTTTCCTTCCTTGGTGGTGGCTCCATAGCTAATAAGAAGAGGAAAAAACAATGCATAATCTTAGTCTCCCCACCAGTACTCATCGATCGCATAACTTTTTCTCGCAACTTTTTTCAAAGGATAATAGTTCACCAATTGGACTCGTGCCCTAACCCCTTCTTGCGTACCTTACAACAGAAAAGAACACAGTCAAGACCTCTCTATTTGTTAATAACATGTTAATGAAATATATGCAAACTCTGTTTTCCCATTTTAGTCGCATGCATTAAAAAAAAAAAAGAAAAAGTCTTTTTATAGGATTACAAAATTACTGGTGAACTAGTAGTTTCCATTGTGGCCCTTGCAAACAAATGAAACAAATTTACTTCGTGTCATGGCTCACTGCTTCGGCCGCTTACCGCTTATATTTATTTTGTCGGCGGAGTAATCGGCTTACAAATTCTCTGTCCTCAATAACTGAGTGTTTGTACTCTTTCTCTGTCAGGTATCGGTTAAATTTAACTACAGTTACACGAAGGCTATCGGGCGCGCAATCTTAATTCCCTGTCTTTCTTACGAACTGTTGCATAAAACTCTTCGAGAATGTTTTTTTCAGGGCCTCCGGTCTCGCACTCTCCACTACTTTCGACTTTTTGAAGCTTAAGACTTCCGTCTTTTTGTTTCTGCTTTGTTTGGTTCAATTTTTCTAGGCATTCTTCTTCAAACGCGTAATTGAAACGTTGTTATCTTTTCCTAACATATCCACCATTTTTGCTTTGTTGTGCTTTAGCGACTCTCCTGTCAAACAATTCAATTTCAACTCTCTTCACTCAATTCGCTAACATTTTAAACTTAAATTCCAGCTTTGTACACTATTTGGGATTAATTGATGTGTTCTAAGCGAAGGTGGTGTCCCCAAATTAGTAAGGGATTTGTTCCCTGGCTAGACGGTTTTTGACACTTTAATAAAGTTTCTACTTCTACTACTACTACTAAGGAACATCCTGAAATGTTTCAATGCATATTATATGAAGAAAAACTGGCGCCAGGACCATTCACAGAGAAAGGGAAGCAAAACCAAAATAATTCTTTATCACTATTGACACCCGATTAAAAATTGCACGAAATTTTATCTACATGTACATACACAAACACTTACCTTAACTTTACAAGGTCAGCAGCTGCACAGATCAGAAATATTACTTGTACCTTTACATTGACAGACAGCAATCTGGCTACAGAATAAATAATTGGATATAATAATTAATGCACCTTCTTCTTCTCCTCACATATAGAACCGAGTTTTATTCACAAGCTAAGATAAGAACTGGAAGAGATGTGTATTTTGCCATCCGTTTAAGAAAAAAACTGGCATGAGGCTCTTTCAGTAATGAGGGGGTTTTCCCTATTTTGATATTTTCGATCTTACCACAATAAGATCGTGACCGTAGGGGAAAGTAAAAAAACATCGCGAAAAAAAGACAAATAAAAGACAACCCTAAAAGAGGCCGGTATTTAATTTGCATCGATCAATTAGTCCAAGAGGTTGGTGTAAATAGCGGCTTTTAGGCCAGTAAACGATATCCATCGATTTAGGATAATGCAATTAATTGCACAGAGCTGGACATAAATATCACACGGTTTCATCCATTCTATATTCCTTCTACATTGCACTTACTCTATGGGCTCATGCAATTAATGTTGTTAGTCTTTGGAAAATTTCACTCGTCCTTATTTATTCCAAATTGCACTCGAAATCGTGTGATTACCTATACTAATCGCACAGAGCTGGACATAAATATCAAACGGTTTCATCCATTCTACATTCCTGCACAGCAAGTAAACAGAATGAGAGCAGTGGATAGCATAACAATGCCTTTAATGAAGTGTCTAAACCACATCCACACAACGATCACTTTTACACATCACTTCAAATGTTCATTTTAACAGTCTGTTTTGATTAGATTGCATATTTTCCACGAAAACTTGAATCAAATAAAACAACGTTCGATAAGTCCGATCGACGAGTCCATAAGATTCCGATTTCAGTCTCAATGTTTGAAAGAGCAAGAAGAGCAGGCAAAGTAAGTGGCGATTTACGAATCTATACATGATGCTGCTGCTATCAGCAAAGCTTTTAATTTGAGAGTTCCGTCGATAATCCAAAGGGGACATCGCATGTCCTACAACGTCTAAATGTTTAAAGCTCTTTGAAACACAGCAACTAGATCTCGTAGATATCTGGTTCCCGTACCTACGTATGGCTACAATACTATTTCCCTTTCTTAGCAGATCCGTGACTGACTTCGGCTGTTTGTTAGGTTGTACAGCAGTGATGTTTGTACTCTATGAATTGACCCTTTGCGAAGCCCAGAACTCTCTTACAAAAATTTGATAACTCCTTCAAAGGTCTATTTTTCTGTTTAGGTAAAGAATCAAAGATCTCTATGGAGCCCAACGTTCACTTAGAACTATGGCTATAGAAATGACCTGTTTCAAATTCTAAAAGTCTGAAACTGGGATTTAGACGAGTTTATGCGCTACATTTTCACCGATAACTGTCCCTTCCTCAGGCAGCGAAACAAATTTGAAGAGAAACCGTTTACATTTTTGACATACAAAACGCAGGAGAAAGTCCTGGCGCCATTAATCCAATATTTGCAAAAGAATATCATTTGTGAATTCAGAAACTCGGTTATTTCTCTTTGGGCTTCTTCGTCGCATCACTTTCACACGTTTCAGAGAAAAGCTCAGAAAAGTAGGTCTTTACTTCTACCGACCTTAGACAGTAAAATATGAAAATATGCAGCCATCTGTGTGAAAGTTCTATAGCAGCTATCAAATTCTAACTATCAACTATAATTCACAGCACTTCAAATGCTACCGAGTCTAGTCTTACCTCAAATAGCAGTGGTGTGCTTTGAAAATCTGGATCTCTTCATTAATCACTCAGACAAGTAAGATCCACTTCTTTGCTGAGATGTTCGTAAATGACACGAAGAGGCACGTCCAAAACCACTTAAGTTGTTACGCTTAAAAATATATCATGACGTTATTCGTACGGGATAAAAATAATGTTGCACTGGCAAGCACGTTCCATAAAACGCCATTTTCTGTATTCCCAATTACTTACTTAGTGAAATAATTATGATTAGTTGTGATTGCTTGCTTGAATGTTCTAGAAATATATTGTGGGCTCCATGGTTTTGGGCAGCTGATTAAAAACATTTCAAATTGGATATCTCGGAAATGCACCCCCACCCCCCTCCCTGCCAACGATCTCTTTCTTCCTTGAGGAAATTGAGGTCTTCTTTGGGCTTTGTCTTTAAGTTCCTTTCTATATTTGCCCGGAAAGGGAAGAGGAGGAGAAGGAAGATGTTGTGTGGTTTGCATGTTGTCTTTTATTGATTAAGTGTACTCAAAAACGAGGCAAGCAGCTTTGGCTAGACGAGCCATGAATAAAATCGATGTTAATCAATGTAAAAGAAGAACGAAATGCAAACTCAAAAGCTTCCATACAGCACGGATGCAATATTTGCACCTTTCTGCACCTTGAAAGTTAGAGACAAAGTTCGAGGAAAATTCCAGCGACTGTAACATGGAAGATTAATTAGGAAGAAATTGTTGCACATATGTTAACATGGCAGTAAATATAGAATCACTTAAACAGATCAGCCATCCTTGGTTGGTCATGAAGAAACGACAGCTTTCTTAACAAAAGAAGGGGGTTTTACCTCATTCCTGTACTGATCATTCCCTGATACGAGAGGCAATTATGCAAATTTATAGAAAATTCATCGAGAAAATGTATGTTAATAAAATACAAATCGTGTGAACTGCATTAACATTTCTCAGACTCGCACAGTTGACATGCACAATGTGTTACGTAACTTAGCAACAAAAACAGCAGTGGATCTTAACACAATACCGGTCTTTGGAAGCCTTTTAGCCCGCACTGTTGTGTTCACCTCAGAAAAGTATTCACAAAATGTTTTAATTCTTTCTTTTCTGGGTCGATTGGGTCCGATTAATTTTAAGGTGCTCTGTCCCATTTTTTGTGCTTATTGAATTTTGGTCAAATATTTTCCTGCATCTCAAAAGGGAAGCCACCCATTTGTTTACGTTGAGCAAAGGAAAGTATGATAGTTTGCGAAGTACTTCGACCGCTGCTTTTTTTTTTTTTGCATGCTCGATAAACTTTTCAATTGGAAAAGAAGACTGAAACTCTCTCTTATCCATAGTAAAAATAATTTACATAGGTTGTTATCACCAATCAGCTGCTGATACGACACTCGACTTTCACGCCATTCTTTTATGTTGATGAATTAAGGGCAAAGCGTTCACCGTTTTCAACCCAAGGTTGTTTGTCGAAGTATTCTTGGTTTATGGCTGCTAAAAACAATAAAGAATTAACATCGTTTACAAACAGCGGCATTCTCTTATAATTTAAATTCTTTTTAAGGCTTCGCAAGGAAGTTTTACTTTCCAGTGTACATTGCCACTCAATATCGATATAAACTCATAAAAGTTGCGCTATCAGTTAATATTTAATCGTCGTTAATCAGTTCATCTTTAGACACAGACTATTGTTCAGGGGCTAAAATTCCAACTGGCTGGAGGCCGACCAGTTGATTTTATACAAAACGCAGCCAAGAAGATAAACTCAGAACAAGAGAGAAGAAATCTGGTGAGTGGCTGGAGCAGGGTAGAGGACTTGAAACCGGAAACACAAGATTACAAGACCAGCGTCCTACTCACTCGGACAAAATTTTCCCAGTTTTTGACCTTTTTCTGCAATTACAGGCGAGTACATACACCATGTGTTTGCAATGACCACGAATCGTCCTTACAGATCCAAACGAACGCCCCTCATTACCCTCATTACACCCCACCCACAAATGAGCTCGAGACTCCCCACGGGACTTGGAAGCAAATTAGAAAAATTCTGGCCCAGTATTTTGCTGCAAACAAACTAAAACAGGTTTTATCGATAATAGGAGACGCCTCGTATACGTTCTTGTTCAAAAATAGAAAAGATATTAGTTTTAACAATCGAATGACGTCATTAACGCAAACGATCAATATCATACAGTATCTGAGCAACTGTACCCGTACCCCTCCCCTAACCAAATATTAAACCTTATTTTTTGATTGGGTTAGGGAGGGGTAGGAGCGCAGTTGTTCAGATACTGACATTGATCCAACTCTAGCAATCAACCTACCGCCAGACTTTGTTACTATTAATTATAAGACTGATGTGTCTGTCCTGTTTTTTTTCCCTTAGCTCTGTTTAAGTTTAAGTTTAATTCATTCGCCACAGGAATGGAAGGAGAAAGGAACAGAACTGTCGTTCCAATTGACACCTAACCCCTTTTTTACCCACCCATCCCACCCCTGGGAGGACATCCATCACACAGTAATCTCGTGTGTGGGAAATTAACGTCTCCTACCCCAACCCTGCAGGAGACGGGACCTCCATTTATCGTCTCTATCTGAGAAGACTAGAAAGTCCACTCATTCAGACATTTGCATTTTTCAAGAGAGACAATTTGAGGGTAGTGTTATCATACCACTCGGTGTCGCTTATTCCACTTAACCATCCAACTCTCAATTTCTTAGTATTAATTCTCCCCTCTAGCTGCAATACATTTCCTGGTAAGTAAGTAAGTAAGTAATTTCACTTAATGCGGCACCACACTTAGCAACAAGCTAATTTCCAGGAGGCCCACAATAAACAGAAACAAATAATTCAAATTGAACATAAATTGTTAAGAATCCCAACTGGCCGTAGGCAAACCAGTTGACTATTTACAAGCGTGGTCGAGGATTCGAACTCGGAGCTACCGTGAAACAAATCCAGGTAGTGGTCAGAGCGGGACTCGAACCCAGGAGCAGCGGATTACTAGTCCGACGTGCTGACCACTCGGCCAGTAGATTAGTTACGAGAATTTGGTGTTAGATCAAGATAACTTCTACTTGAGAAGTTTGAGTATTCTTATTAGCTGTTTGCTGGATAATTTATAAATGTTATAGGGAGAAGTTACTTGTTAATCACTTCTGGGCAATTAGCCCCAGACAACTCGCCTTCGATCTTCAGACAACTGGCCTCCAATATGAAAACACTCATGTTACGTTGGACAAATATATTTTTATGCTCCTAAAGTGGTAATTTCTTGAAAGAAGAGGAAATTTTGTTTTTTTAAAGTATACTGCGAGACCGAGACTACGTTTGTAGCGATCGATTGTTACGATCGCGTAAACACATGAAAGTGACCATATTGTAATCCAGCCACAACATTTGAAGTAATTGTAATGAAACAGCTTTTGCTGTTTTTGTTTTATGTTTTGGAGTATTCTGCTGTTACTTTATTTCCACTATTACTTTAAGAGCATAAAAATCTATTTTTTCAACTTGACATAGGTCTTTTCATATTGGGGGCCAGTTGTCTGACGATCGGGGGCTAGTTGTCTGAAGATCGTGGGCTAGTTGTCTGGGGCTAGTTGTCTGGGGCTAGTTGTCTAGTTTTCCTAATTCAAGATGGTGCTTTGAACACTCGATTTGGAAATCTTCATTCACACTGCTAAAATCTGCCTGTACTGCAAGCTTGTTTGTATTGGCTAACTATCTCATGCCATATTGATACTTAGGTTTGTCTTCAATGTGATTGTCTGTGGATCCAATACAGTCCAAGAAGGATCAAGGGAACTGGATTGACAGATGGTGAAGGGGTGGAAAGGTTATGGTCCTTTCTGCGTAGGTTTTCCTGTCACTAAAGAAATAAGTGCTCACAAGAGGACAGATGTTTTGACTGATGGGCTTCTTCACTATGCCCAACATTTGTATCACAAAATTGGTATGGTTAATTTTATTGAAAACATAACTTTCACGTTTCTGTAGGTTTTGCTGAAAAGTAAAAGATATAACAACTATTGACCAGAACTTTAGCTGGACAGCTTTATCTACTCTGTGCAGTGTTTTCTGTCGTAGTTGCAATTCTTCATTTTTTCAATAAGGACGTGTGTTAAAATGTAAGTCGACGTTGATTAGTCTTATTGGCACACATTAAACGGATTCCTTTCAATGTTCACAGGTGTTACTCTAGAAGCACAGTTTGCTAGGGCAGAAACTCTTCTACATGATGTAAGTGCAAAGCTTGAGGAACTCACTGAAAAACTTCCAGGTATACATTTTTTTACTCATTGCATTGAAAAACAGCACAATGACTTACATGCATGCGTTTCTGCTCGATTATTGCAATACAATTTGTATTTACCGGTACTAGGTTGTGATGATGATGTGATACAAGAGCGGCAAAAGGAAGAAGTTGAAGCGCTGAAACCAAAAGAACACGGTAGTTTTATTCCTCAGCATTTATTAAAAATCAGTAGGGAAAACAGTTTTTTTGTATTCACTAATATATTATTAATCTGTCACAGGATTAACACTGCAGTGGGACGAATCATATGTCAGCTTGCTCCTTATGTCTAAAAAACTCAGGTAAATAGTGTGGAAGTACCACCTACCAAATTCATGATTTACATTATAGCGAGTACCTGAGCTTTTCGAAAGTGATTAATGTTGTAAAAGGCGCAATTCCTACCTAACCAATCGTTGTGGTAGACTACGTGAAACTAATCTTTTAGTTGATTCATGGCATTAGCTATAATCCTTTGTGACTTCGGCTTGAATAGAGATGTTTTGTACTCGAAACTTCAGTCA